GCAGCAGTAGCAGCAGGAGTAGCAGCAGCAGCAGCAGCAGCAGCAGCAGTAGCAGCAGCAGGAGTAGCAGCAACAGCAGCAGAGGGAGCATAACGCAGAGAGACAAAGAGAGAAACAAAAACAAAGAGGAGACAGAGACAGAAAGGAGACAGAGAAGAGACAGAAAAAAAAAACAAAAAAAAACAAAAAAACAAAAAACAAAACAAAGAAAAGCAAACAAAGAAAGAAAGAACAAAACAAAAGAAAGAAAACAAAGACAAGCAGCAACAAACAAACCTGAGAGAAACCCCTAACCGCCTCCTTATAGCTGCTGCTGCTGCTGCTGCTGCTGCTGCTGCTGCTGCTGCCCCGCTGCAGCAGCACAGCTCTGTTGTGCTGCAGCGCCCCCAGGGCGCAGAGACAGCAGCAGATTTCTTCTTCGAGTGTATATACACTGCGTACTGCTGCTGCTGCTGCTGCTGCACCCGCCCCCTTGCTGCTCCACAAACCGCCGCCGCTGCCGCTGCTGCTGCTGCTGCTGCTGCTGCTGCTGGGGTAGAAAAAAGGAGAACGCCACGGCAGCTGCAGCCGCAAGACAGAGCTGCTGGGGGCCCCACAAAAACCCAAAGACAAGCGAGAGGAGACAGCACGAAGGAGACAGCCATATGCTGTCAATCGAGCTGCTGCTTCTTCAGAACCACTCCTTGCTGAGCAGCAGCAGCAGCAGCAGCAGCAGCAGCGAGAGCAGCAGCAGCAGCGAGAGCAGCAGCAGCAGCAGCAGCAGCAAGAGCAGCAGCAGCAAGAGAGAGAAGTAAAACGCACAGTTTCTACAAGGCGGTCGGATCGAATCTTTACTACTACTACAGCTACAACTGTTGCTGCTGCTGCTGCTGCTGCTGCTGCTGCTGTAGCTGCTGCTGCTGCTGCTGCTGCTTACGAGTGAGGACAGCGATGACGGCGTCTCTCAGCCGCTGCAGCTCCGCGAAGACATGAGCTATCTCAGAACACTGCAGCCACCCAAACTGCTCGCTGCACACACAGCAGCAGCAGCAGCAGCAGCAGCAGCATCAGCAGCAGCAGCAGCAGCAGCAGGAGCAGCAGCAGGAGCAGCAGCAGCAGCAGCTACACTATAGGCACAATGAGACAGACAAGAAACAACACACGAACTGCAGCAACCAAAGGCTTGCTGCTGCTGAAGACGGCTCCCCTAAGGGGCCCCTAGAGGGCCCCTGGGGGGCCCCTGGGGGGCCCCTGGGGGGCCCCTGGGGGGCCCCTAGGGGCCCCTTGATAGCACCCAAGGCGGTCAGAGAGCAGCTGCATCAGCTGCAGCAGCTGCAGCAGCGGCAGACAGCAGCATGAACAGCAAACAACAACAACAACAACAGCAGCAGCAGCAGCAGCAGCAGCAGCAGCAGCAGCAGGGGGTGTACCTGCAGTAAGCCTCCAGCGGCTCTATGAGCTGCCCTGGGAGGGGCACAAAGGAGGGGAGGCGCCGCATTGCATCGCCTTCGAGAGCAGCAGCAGCAGCAGCAGCAGCAGCAGCAGCAGCAGCAGCAGCAGCAGCTGTAGAAGTAGGAGTAGTGACTGCAGCAGCTGCTGCTGCAGCAGCCGTAGCTGCAGCAGCAGCAGCTGCACCTACAGTAAGACTCTCCCTGCAGCAGCTGATGAAGAGATATTGTTACTCCTCCAGCTGCTGCTGCTGTTGCTGCTGCTGCTGCTGTTCCTGCTGCTGCTGCTGCTGCTGCTGCCGTGCCTCCTACACACGTGCAGAGGCTAAGGGGTTGAGCAGCAGCAAGTAGCAGCAGGAGCAGCAGCAAGTGCAGCTCAAAAATTCGCAGTTACTGCTGTTTCTGCTGCTACTTCTGCTGCTGCAGCAGCTGCTGCTGCTGCTGTTGCTGCTGCAGCAGCTGCTGCTGCTGGTGTCTGCAGCTAAAAAGGGGCTCTGCGTCGCTCTTTGTGTTTTTAATGGAAACCATAAATTCACAAACAGAAAAAAATCAACAAAAGTAAAAAAGGGAGCAGCAGCAGCAGCAGCAGCTGCTGCTGAGCAGGGGCCGAGAGAGAGTGGGGTCTGTGTTAGCAGCAGCAGCAGCAGCACAGCAGCAGCAGCAGCAGCAGCAGCAGCAACTGCTGCTGCTGCTGCTGCTGCTGCTGGTCAT